AGCAGTTTTAGGTTTACAGAAAAATTTTGCAAATAGTACAAAGTTCTCAAATATTGCTTCTGTCCTCCTCCCCCCAACGCGCCCTGGTATCAACACCTTGCTTTAGTGTAGTGCATTTGTTACAACTGATAAGCCAGTATTAATGCATTACTATTTTCAAGTCCATAGTTACATTAGGATTCACTAGTTGCATATTCTGTGGGTTTGATAAACTTAACATGGCACATGTCCACTTGTATGTGTCACACAGGGTAGTTTCACTGCCCTAAACCTCCTTTGTGCTCTGCCTGTTCATCTCTTCCACCTCAACCCCTGGCAACCACGGATCTTTCCACTGTGTCCATAGTTTTGTCTTTTGTAGAATGTCAGTGGTTGTCATCACACAGTAAGTAGCCTTTCAAATTGGCTGTTTTTCACTTGGTAATATGCATTTATGATTCTTTCATGTCTTTAGTGTCTTGCTGGTTCATTTAATTTCATTCTTGAATGATATGCCGTTGTATAAATGTACCAAAATTTGCTTACTCTTTCACCTGTTGAAGGACATCTTGGCTGCATCCAGTTTTTGCAATTAAGGATAAAGCTGCTATAAATATTCGTGTGCAGGTTTTCTGTGGACGTAAGTTTTCAACTTATTTGAGCAAATACCAAGGGGGAAAAACAGTCCTTCTTTTTCAATAAAACTTTTACATCTGGCATTCCTATCTTTTTCTTTTTCTTTCTTTCTTTCTTTTTTTTTTTGGTATTCCTATCTTGATCAATTATAATTTCCCCTCTGTAGCTGATTCCTATGCCCTCCCAATTTCTTTCCCTTAGCATCATTGCAGTTTCTGCCACGTGTGAATCACAGGAATGCTGGACACATGTCAACAACTTTATCTCTAGAAAACAAGAAAGTGTTTTAAAATCTTATAGGGGCTGTCCTGGCACACTTGATATTCATAGACACATGTGTACTGTTTCTGCCAGTGGATGTTAATGCTAATAGTTATTCCTACCAAAATGTACTGCCTTGTCACTTCTGGTTTCTGTAGTCATAGCCACATGCATAGTATAAGTTCTGCTTAAAAAAAAAAGTCTATTTATTTTGAACAGAAACACGGTCTAACAATGAAAGAATAACGACTTCAAATTCCATATTCTCCATAAATATGTTTGATATTGGGAACTTTTCTTAGCCTGCCTGATCTTCAGTGGCCTATGAAATAAGCAATAATATCCACCTTTCACAGTGGTGCTGAGGATTGGAAGTAACGTGAATAAAGCCTGGCACATTGGGGGCAATCTGTGAATGGTGTGGTGGTCGTGATGTTTGTACAGCAAGCATATAACCTAGGAGAATAGGGTGCTTTGTGTTTCAATAGGGAAATTTTACCTGAATAGTAAGAACGATGATCAGGAGGCCTTCCAATAGCTTCCTGTCTATTGATGTCCACTCACACTTAAGAGCATCCAGAGCTGCCTAACTCTCTTCCTGACCTGCCAGAAGGATTTCCCCCCACCCAGCTGTGCCCCTTAGGATCGAAGGATCTAATAAATAAGCATCTCATTTCTTTGTCCATTCCTGTTCCACATCCTATTGTCAGCATGGCCTTCCTGCTTCTCCATGCCGATGTGAGGTGTCCTAATTTATATTAATAAAAGAGTAATATGTTAAGTAGACCAGGAGACCTTCTGGACATCCTTCCGGACAAACCGCCCCCAAACAACCCTCAGCCCCTTGCCCAGGCTGGCCACACCACCCAGCGGGGATCCTCACCCTGATGGGGGTGTGGCCAGCCTGCAAACCCCCAGTGGCCCCTTGTCCAGGCCGGGCCCTCCCCCAGCGGGACCTCCCCACACTGATCAGGGTGTGGCCAGCCTGTAAACCACCCCAGGTCCCTGGCCCAGGCCAGCCTGGTTTTCCAGGCCGGTGAGGGGACAGTTGGAAGTGATCAGGCCGGCGAGGAGGGGGGCAGTTGGGGGTGAGAAGGTTGGCAGGGGGGGCAGTTAGGGACGAGTGTTTAGGAGCCAGCAGTCCTGGAATGCTAGAGGGATGTCCGACTGCTGGTTTAGGCCTGATCCCATCCCCCGAGGGGTCCCAGATTTGAGCAGGTGCAGGCCGGGCTGAGGGACACCCTCCCTGCCTTTGGTGCACAAATTACATGCACCAGGCAACTAGCTACTACATGAAGCTCTAACTGCATGCTCCAGTCCGTGGAGTTTGTTGCAATCCCCCCTTCTTTCCTGACAACCCCAGGATACTTAGTGCCTGGCCATTCATTAGCTGATGCTCATAAACTCTTTGCTGTTGTTGTTAGTTCGTTTTTCAAGCTCTTGAACTTAGGGGACTATGACTTCTATTTCTTGTACTCCATACAATGTCCTATCACATAGAGCTGTTTAATGGATCAGTTAGTTAATTTGATTCAATCCCAGAAACTAAAAGCTATTTGGCAGCTCAAACCAGTAAAGCTTTTTTTAAAAAAAAAAATAATTTTTTTTTTTATTGATTTCAGAGAGGGAGAGCAAAATAGAAACATCAATGCTGCGAGAGAATCATTGTTTGGCTGCCCCCTGCATGTCCCACACTGGGGATCAAGCCCACAACCCAGGCATGTGCCCTGACCAGGAATCGAACTGTGACCTCCTGGCTCATAGGTTGATGCTCAAACACTGAGCAACACTGGCTGGGCGAAACTCATAAAGCTTTAATAGATTTCTGAGCAACCTTAAAATAAGAAGGATGCTAGTTTGCCCAGGGCAGGTTCAGCTTTACCTGGAAGTAAGAGTATATGGACTTAGTAGATATCTCTGGAAGTCCTTTCTAAGTGTGGCTGTGTCCTGTGATTTGCTGGGTGGGCAATCCTGAATTGTCTGTGCGTTAGTTGGGATTGATCTTCATCTCAGTCACCAGTCTCAGCTTCTACCACAGCCATGTTGAGTCCATCACCCCTTTAAGGGGCATGTGTGACGCCATTGGCCCAGGTGACATGTAATTAGGAAAGCGTGTCTTATTACAACCCAAAGTAATAGGAAACATTCCAGATCCAAATAGAATATAGTTGTGGATTATTTCATATCTGTGTTCCTGACCTTCTCCTCTTTTGTCTCCACGAAAAAGCTTGGTGCTTGGTTGCCCTCTAGGCTACATCTGTTGCTGTCGCCTGTGACACTGGCAATGCATTTTGCTAAAAGGTCAGTAACTTAGTGCAGGTTATTTGTAGGACACCCATTCTGAGTCTTGAGGCTGAGTCCAGGAAGCAGTGGAATATTCCATGTGTCCCCCACACATGACTTCTGCTGCCCCCGGGGTCTGTTTCTCCTGTTAGGGCTCGGGAGCTGCCTGGCAGAGGCCGGCTGAGATGGGAGGAATCCTGCCTTTAGCTGTTTCAGTAAAGTGACCCCAGTGTTTGAGGAATGATGAGGACGGAATTAAACATGAGTAAAAGGCTTGGAGTGGTTCCCGTTTTCCTCCATAGCGGGTGTCCACTGGTGTGACTGTTATTTTTGTGACTATCGCTTTATCTACACTCTGGCCAGCTTTTGGAACACTAACTCTGGGCAACTTAAATGAAAGTTTGTTTTCCAGGATGAAGTAAACTGGCAGAAGTTTCCATTGCTCATCAAATCGGGTGCAAATGGTTTGCCTGAGCTAGAGGTTTGAGTGTGCTTTTGAAATACATGCTGTGGCCCTGCCGTTGTGGCTTGTGCCGGGCCAGCACAGCCAAGGGTTCGGTGAGCCTGAGCAGGGGCAGCGAAGGATTAAAGGAAAGACAGACAAAGAGAATAAGCTGGGTCTAGGATCTCCTGAGCCTGGTTGAGGCCATAGAGAGATCTAGATGGAAAGCTGAGCCTTTATTTTATAGCCAGACGTAAACAAGGTAGTGGTCACCACAGTTACAATGTTCTTGTGAGTTTCACTTATTTTGGCAGCACTTGCTGCACCTCCTGGAGCCCATTAGCTACCCAGATAGGATCTAGGTTCTAGGCAGAGTCATAAGGTCAAGTCTAATTATGCTAAGAGGGCTGTGCCCTCTAAGCTGGAACTTGTTTGTGGCTTTGCCAACAGGTCAGTACCAGGCTTAACCCTGTAGCTGCTCCCTGCAGTAGCTCAGTGGTTGAGCATTGACTTATGAACCCGGAGGTCACGGTTCAATTTCCCACCAGGGCACATGCCTGGGTTGTGGGCTCGATCCTCAATATCAGACATGCAGGAGGCAGCCGACCAATGATTCTGTCTCATTGTTGATGTTTTTCTCTCTCTCTCTCTCTGCCTCCCTGAAACCAATAAAAGTATTTTAAAAAGAAAGAATTGCCGAAACCGGTTTGGCTCAGTGGATAGAGCGTCGGCCTGCGGACTGAAAGGTCCCAGGTTCGATTCCGGTCAAGGGCATGTACCTGGGTTGCGGGCACATCCCCAGTAGGAGGTATGCAGGAGGCAGCTGATCGATGTTTCTCTCTCATCGATGTTTCTAACTCTCTATCTCTCTCCCTTCCTTCATTTGGCTCCCGGGATTTCCCTTTGGTTTGGAAAGAATGATCTTCCAAATTCCGCTATAAAACATACGGGAGAGAGAGAGAGAAAGATGAGGCTCCAGGAAAGAGCACGGTGTTGACATTGTTCAAAGAATGAGCTGAAGGTGACTTTTCGTTCGTGGTGCCCGAGTGAGTGATCGATTGCTGCGAGACTGAATTACCAGCGGCGTTGCTCGCTGCTGATTTATACGGCGCGGCTTAGCTTTGTCTTCATCCTTCAAGATAGTAAAACACAGCTAAGAGTCAGCAGGTACCTCCGAGACCCGGCAGCAGCCCCGCCGCTCCCTAATTGCTCTCCCTGCTTCTGCCCAGAATATTTATGGTGAGTAGCCAGTTATCTCTTCTTTGGCAGCCGGCCCTGCTTTCCTGTCGTGCGGAATTGCCTGCATTCGCATTTGCAAACAGAGGCTCACTCAAGTGTCACTAAAGGAAGAGGAGGTGGAGCCAAAAGGGCTTTAAAAAGGAAAGAGGAGTCATTCTACTTCTCAACAAGGGAAACTGTACTTGGGGAGGAATCCGATCTCCATATTTCTTCTTTCAGCTTCATCAAGGGTCGTGGTTGGAACCTTCCATCAATTCTTTTCTTTTTCTTCCTTTCTTTTTTTCCCTCTCTCTCCCTCTCTCTAGCCCTTGCCTGTTGCTCTCTCTGCCTGTCACAGTCAAGTCAGCTGCAGGCCTCCTCCACCGTGTGGCTGGGACATTGTGAAATGTGTCAGAAGGGTGTCAGGTATTTCTTGCTGGCTTCCCAAAAACGGAGATAAAGAAGTCTTTCCCGGGGTGCCCCTCTCAGGCTACTTTTGGGCACTGTCTTGAGTTGAAGCAGAAGGAGGTGAAGGGCGACAGCAAAAGAGCCCGGGAGAAGATGCCCGGGGGCTGCCGGCCAGCGGGTGAGCACTCCTGGGGCAGACGTACCTGCCTCGCTATGCTCAGCCAAAGTCAAGTTAGTCTCTATTGACAGTTCAAGCCCATGGAGACCATGCTGCTCTTCCTTGTCACTCTGTTGCCGGTAGTTTTTAGTCTCCCAGCACTCCGTCCCTGGAGCTGTCCTGAAGGCTCCCCCTCGGGCAATGGGAGCTCCACGTGTGCAGGTAAGTAATTCCGCTCAAAGGGATTCGCTTCTTCCTGGCAACTGCCCTCAGCTACCTGTTCATTTCGTCTTGTAAAGTGGGGCTTTTTTTTTCTTTCTGATTTGTCTTTGCGTGTGTAGATTTTGCTTAATTTTTGTTTTTTAACGCTTGCATAGTCTCTGACTGGCTGTTAGAGCTAATCTGCTACCGGCTGTGCAAACTCCTGGTTCTCAAACTGTTCTTCCACGTGTGTCATTGTACACTAGCTGAACGTTTCTTTTCACGTCTCTATTCTGACACGAGGAATAACTAAGCACTGAGTTGATCAGCTTTTTATTGGAAACTGGGGAAAGAGACAGCACTTTTTTGAAATTGACTCTAAGGCATAAGAAATTCTCTAATAACTTTGTGTATGAACTCAGAAGTTACTTAAAAACCAGTGGAAAAAAAATGGATGAGGATTGGGAACAAACGTGGTTCTATTATGAAAGCCAAGCTAAGTTTCACCTTACACCTCCTCCCTCCCCACCTCCCCACTCCTTCCGTTTCTGAATCTGGCTGGCTCCAAGTTTTTAGTAACAGGTGCTTTGTAACTCTGTGAACTGACAATATGCCACATACCCCTCCCATAATAAATGGGTTTTTAATCTAGGAGAAGTGGGGTTTTACTGAATGCAAAATAGCAATCCTGCTTAAGGACATTGCCTGAAAAATCTCTCTCTCTCTCTCTCTCTCTCTCTCCCTCCCTCCCTCCCTCCATTTTATTTTGCTCTTGGTTGGGTCTCCAACCTGCTGTTCAGACAAGGCAGCCACTTCCATCCATTATAGAACATGAACTACCCTGACGTTCCTTTCTTGTCATTTTGCCCTTTAGAGAAGGGATCTGGCTCCCAAAAAGAGATAAACTGAGGAAAACATAGTACAGCTTCCAGGAGCGAGGTCTCCGGGAGACAGCAGGGAGCAGTGGGAATTGAGAGCACAGTGCGGAGCCAATGCTGGCGCTGGCTGGGCTCCCGCCCTGGCTGCCTCATGGTGGAAGTTACCAGGAGATCAGGTGCTCTTGCTCTGGCCCTCAGGACTGACTCCAGGCCACACTCATTGTAACAGGGGAGCAGAACCTTAGGGTGTTGGAAGGAAGGAAGAAATTCTCACAATCTTTGTGACTCCAGCACCCAGAACATTTCTGCTTTCATGTTATGTATTCAGTCAAGTCTTGCTGAAGGAATGAGGAGTCTTTCCTTGACCAGCTGATCACAGAGTCCCAGAGAATAACAACAAAAGGGGGGTGACTAAAGACAAAAATGATCTCACAAGCATGTTGCTCGGTTGTTGAAGGCAGAAGTGAAAGCTTTTGGACACAGTTGTGTTGAAAAAACTGGAACCTCCCTGGGGTGGGTGAATTGTCCCCAGAGTAGTTGGCAAGTGACCAGAATTAGGCACTGCCGTTTGCATGGGGCATGTGAGGAGATGGTGGGAGCCGGTCAAGAAGCAGCACTTGAGAGAGGGGGGGAAATCCCACAGAAATGAACTTTTACACATAGCTGTAGAGTCACAGAGAGCCACCGATTCCAGCTAGCAAGTGAACTTGTGCTCCTCACCACCCCTGACAGTGCCCTCTCGGGTCTGGATGCACCAAATCAACTTGAAGACCAGGACAGAGGCAAGGAGTTCACTGTGTCAGGGTGGAGGGAACACAGGTTTTAGAAGCAAATACACCTCATTTCAAATCCATGCCACCTAGTTAATACTTGAGTTATATTGGAATATTGCAGGAAATACCCCACCCCCCTTTTCAGGACCGTTGTGTGGATCACATGAGATACCACGTGAAACACACCTAACACAGAGGCCAGCAGACTGTACTCAATAAATGTCCTCTTGGCTCCCTGTCTTGGCAAAGTCTCTTTGATCAGATCACGCCCTGAGATGCCTTGTTTGGGCAGTGCAGGGACGTGGCACGGACCTCGCATGGTGTGGACGCCATTCTGTGACTCTGCCTCTTTGCTCCCTTGATCCCTCATGTCACTGGTTTAAACCCCCTACTTTACACTCCATGTCTCATGTTAGCTGATAACTGCCTGGATCACACCCTGTGTCCCCTGCATTTCAGAGGCTAGTGTTTCTCCTTTCTAAATAGATATCGTGCCATCATCTTCCACACCGCCCCCCCCCCCACGCCCCGAATTCTACTTGTCTTATTTCTTGTCCTTGGCATTCAGACAGACCACCCCTGGCCAGCCTGACCCAGCAGAAAGAATGCTTTGTGGTTTGACAAGATTCAGGTAACTTTAGGCAAGACTGTCCCTCATGTGACTGCTAGCCACATAAACCAAGTGATAACACTGAATTGGATACTTTTCATTCCTCCCCTCCCCCGCTCCTCTTTTTTTTTTTTTAATTGACCGAGTATTCTGTTAGCTTCTATTTGAGCAGCAGTAGGTGAGGATAGCAATAAAGAAAACTGCTGGCAAGCAAGCGGCTTCTGAACTTTCAAGCTTATTTGCCCTCTAGGAGAAATATCTGTTGAAAAAAGGAACTGTTCCTGTTTGCTGTCTGTACCGGCATTATTGAATGAACTTTCCTGGTAAAATAAAGGGTGAAGAAGTACGAACGAGCCTCAGAGAGCTGGCTGCAGGAGGGATCTGGGGCACTAAGCCCACTGGGAGATCCCTGTTAGCAGTAAACAGCGAAATCACTGATTTCAGCACTGGCTAAGGCTTGGTCCGCTTCCCAGTCATGTGCAAACCCGAATAATTTCATGATCAGGATCTTTGTTTTTTCAGCCAGGGTTATGCAAAAGTTTTTTGTTTTTCTTTTTAATCTAACTGCAAAGAAATTCTAGAAATGATCTTTTATGCACAGCACGGAAATGAAACTGTCCCCAAGGTACCCAGTGGTTTATGGTCTTTGAGGGACAATAGGGTTTAGTGGTAAAGAGCTTAAAGTTTGGAGTCAGACCTGGGTTCAAATCCCAGTTTTGCTGCTTGCGAACCAGGTGTCTCATTTTCCTCACTGCGAAATGAAGATAATTACCCTCTTCTCCTTGCATTGTTGTCGGGATTGTGTTGATGTATTTGCTTTCGATGTTGGCCACACATTAGAGTCACCAATATCCAGGTTACCGTCCAGTCCATCGGGGTCAGAGTCTCTTCTGGGGTGGAATCCAGGCATCCTTTTCTCTGAAACTCTCCCTTGGTGATTCTAATGGGCATGATGGGCAGCCTGGGTTTAAGCCACTAAGTTAATATATGTAGGGGGCATAAAACAGAGCCTGGTATGTAATAGGGACTCAGTAAGTCTTAGCTCCTATTGGTATTTTTACCATTGTTAAAATTATTTTTATCGGTGGTAACTGTACCAGTATTTTCTAAATGTGGCTCTGTTTCTTCTATAATAATTGAATTTTTTTTTTACTCCTGGAAAACATCACATTGAAAAATCTGAGATGGTTTTACATGAAAAATTATAGTCAAGATAATTTCAACATTCATAGCTTTTACTTTTGCAGCTAGAAGTAACATTTATTAACAATACAAAAACATATCAAACTGCTTTGAGCAAGTGCTCTTCTGGTACTGCAGCTCCAGTGTTTTTTTTCTGTGACAACACCTGATAAAAAACTCACTGACTGAAAATTAAATATGCCTGTTAGATTTCCTACCAGGAACAATTTTATTTGACAACAACAAAACAAGGAACTCAAAAGTGACAATTTAAATTTCATATATATTTTTCCTTGTATTTTTATTGATTTCAAAGAGAAAGAAAGAGAAAGAGAGAAATAGAAACATCAATGAAGAGAGAGAATTATTGACAGGCTGCCTCCTGCATGCCCCACACTGGAGATGGAGCTCACAACCCAGGCATGTGCCCTGACCAGGAATCAAACCTTGACCTCTTGGTTCAGTGGTCGATGCTCAACCACTGAGCCATGCCGGCCAGGCCTGGAACCAATTTCTTTAAGATTTTTTAAAGCTGCTGGCATTTAAAGGAACGATAAAATAAGTCTTTAAATGGATTTATATTTGGGGGTTAGTTGGGAGTTGTTCAAATATATGACATTCAATTTGGTAGTCGGAAGGTGAGAATTCTCTGTGTTCAGGGGAGAGCAAATGATTGTTTCCCATCAAAAGTAAATGAACTAGTCATTTGGTTTACAATTTGCCTTCATGAAAATCCTTTTGAAATAATTTCTTGGTTAGTCTGAATGTTTTCTGTTTTTTGACATCAGTAGTCTCCACACTCTATTCCATCTGTAAAAAAATTAAAATGTGGGCATATGCTCTCAGTTAGTTACGTGTCATATGTATACTACTACTATGAACATTATACTACACATATTTCTAATATTGTCTTTCCAAACAATAGTGACCTTCTTCCAGTCTGTAAGCGGTACACATCCTACTTGGATGAGACGGTTGTAGAGAAGTAATAAAATGATGGGATACATGCTTCATCTTTCTTAGCCCTTAGCTCCCTTCACTTAGGCATGAAGAGATAAGAAAGGTTTACTTTTTTTTTTCTTTTTTCAAGTAAAGGGGAGTTCTTTATAGAATGACTTCTCTCAGAGTGTATAATGGGAGAAATAAAAATGACTTTTCTCAGGGTGGATAATGGAAGGCATAAAAATGCACTGAGATTCTTCCATATGGACTAGAACGCCTAAAGATGGGCTGGAGTGTCAGAAATTCCAAAACTCCATGGCCTGCTGGAGTGTATATATCTTAGGATTTTAAAATAAAAGATGGTCTGTGCCTTCACCCCGTGTTCTGGGGAAACGCAGCGTGTCTCTCCTAAGACAGTGGGAGTGGTGATGTGGAAGGGAAGGAAGGCTCTTGTGTTCCTGCTGGCCCTTCCGCTGAATTATTCGTCAGTGTGCTCACCTCTCTCACGGGCTGTCCCTTTCCCACACCTCATAACCTCACGCCTGACGCCACCCTGTTTTACTTCTCGAAAGACCTGGTGCTGTGACTGTGAGTGGACAGACTTTAACTGGAAGTTTGGGAGGGGGTGGGTCCTAG